TCAAAACAAAGGAGGAATGGGACCAGTCTGCCAGTTCACCTGTTCCTCCTGCCCCTCACACTGCTTTCCCTTCCTCTTGGCATCTCTCCTGGCCTCCTTCCTCCTAGCCCCAGAAGCTGCCTCAGGACTCATCTTCACATCAGTGCAGCACCAGCACAGCAGAGCCACTGTTGTGCTGTAGCGAAGATCAGGGGTGGCCAACCTGCGCCTCTGGAGCGGCACACGGCTCTTCAGAAATGAGTGTTGGGCTCCTTGCACAGGCACTGACTCCGGGGCGGGAGCTACAGGCACTACCTTTCAAATTTGCCAGTGGGGGAGGGGGTGCTCACTGCTCAATCCCCAGCTCTGCCCGAGGCCCTACCTCCACTCCAGGTTCACCCCTTTTCAGATGCTGGGAAACAGGGCTGTGCTGATCAGCAGGGCTGCTGGCAGGCGTGAGGCGCTGGGGACAGAGCTGACAGGGCTGCTGGCATATTACTGTGGCTCTCTGGCAATGTACATTGGTAAATTCCATCTCCTTTTCAAGCTCAGTTTGGCCACCTTGATGAGGATGTTACTATGCCAACAGCAAGAGCTTCTCCAATCTACCTGCATCAATAAAGCTGCTGCTTCTCCCAAGAGAAGCTCTCCCAGGGACACAGTGCTGTCTACACCTGGGTCAGGTTGGTATAACTGTTCCTCGGGGTGGCCTTTTCTCACCCCGGAGCAGAGTAGTTATACCATATAGGGCTGTAGCGGTGGTTCTCAACCCATGTGTGCTGCTGCCTGCAGGTTCACCCCTTTTCAGCAGATGAACAAATAAATCTGAACACCACCACCCAGATGTTCAGTTTAGTCAGATGCCTCTTCCCCAGGCCACAAACCCTTTCCACCCTCTCTGGGCTGCAGCTTCTCCTGTAGCCCCCTCCTGGACTCAGCAGCTAGTTAAGTGTTGCTGGAGCAGAGCAATAGAGGGGGGCTTCTGCCCACCTTCAGCTGACCCGTCAGCTGATTCAGGCTTATGGGGCTCAGGCTGCGGTGTAGACACTCCAGCTGAGGCTGCAGCCTGAGCTCTGGGACCTTCCCACTTCACAGGGTCCCAAGCACAGAGTCCAGTCCGAAAATGGACATCTAGATTGCAATTAAACAGTTCCGTGAGCCTGAGTCAGGCGACATGGGCCACCCCTGGGTGTGACTGTGGTGCAGACACACCCACAGAGCTGAGAGAGACATGATGTATGAGAAAACACACCCTGTGCCCTGATGCCTCTTCCTCTCTATGGCTTTCATCTCTAAACCCACTTCCACCTCTCACCTGTCTCCCTCGGCGTGCTCAGCTCTGACTCCCCCAGCCCGAACTACTGGGATTGCCAAGTTACACATGCGAGTAACCCTTTCCCCAGCTCACCTCATCAGCTGGAGCACGCCAGGAGAGGGGAGGGCTGGACGCACAAGTCCCCCGCTCAGCCCCTGTAGCTGCACTTCAGGGAGGCAGAGAGGCCGCAGGGCCAATGAGGATGACTGCAGACGTGTCTTCACCACTTCCAGGGGACAGGTCAGGATGGCTCCAGCTGTGCCGCCACATCTGGGGAGACAGTGAGAACAGGCTGGAGTGAACAAGGGTCACTCCTCAGGAACTGGAGGCAGCAGTTCAGAGCTTGGCTGTATTGTTTTTCTGATGTCCAGGCCCTCTGGCTTTCCTCACACATGGCCTCTGACTCCAGCACTGATTAACATGCTGGCTCCAACAGCTCCTGGCCAGCCCTGCTGAGGTGTCAGCATTTGAGACAAGCCGAGTCCTAAGTCCATGGAGAGGACTCAAGCTCATGACCTGAGCACCGGAAAACAGTTCTGCTGCCCAAGACTTTCCTGACGGCGTCGGCAGCTGACTTGACAGCCCTGAAGAGGGTATAATCTGCAGGTCCCCAGAGCTGATTCAGTCCTGCATTAACTGAGTGCTCCCCAACTCTCTGAACCTCCTCCACAGGCCTCAGCTTGCCAGGGAGGAACCCTCTTTCGGTGGGCGGCCCATTTACTCCTGGGCAATTGCTGAAACTGTCACCAATGGAGACAGGTAATAACTGCACTTGTCCCATCAGTACTTGGGCTTATACCCATCAAACTCGTTTAACATACAAGCCACAAATTGCCACCAAATGGAAAGCGTTTTGGTCACTATTGGCCTGGGGCCAGACTGGACCTGGTGCCCTAGAAGAGAAAAAGGTCCCGTATTCCATTCTCCAGACAAGCCCCACAACGTAAGGCCAAACTAGAAGAAAAGGAAAACCACAGTTTGTTTGTCTATTCTTGGCCTTTGGCTGAAGGCCTGAGTCTAACATAACCAATCTGGCTGGTTTACAGTCCAAAAGATTTATTTTTTTACAGAGAGTAATTCTAGCTGGTGAACCTTGCCTTGAGCAGTGGAGAGTGGGGTAAGGGGACTTGAGGTGCTCAGTTAGTTCTTGAGATGGGATTTTTAAGTCTCTTTCTCTGACTATCTCAACACTTTGCCCTCCACTGTGTGTCACAAAGGACATGGAGGATAAAATTCTGACCAGAGGCCCTGGGGAGAGAGGCACCATGATAGGTATTTGAGGTAACAGTCCAAGAGATGTGACTATTCAATCTGACAATCAGAGAGGAAAAGTTATTCAACAAAGTCAAGATCTGGGTGTGGGGAGTTTCAGGCCTGTTCTAAATGAAGAGTTTAGGTCAAATTTGACCGCATTAGGCTGATTTTCTAATGAGTCCACACCATTAGGCCTTTTCTGTCAACTTTAATGGACACTAAAGTCAATTTTAATACTCCTGCTTTTCTCATAGAAAAACGGTAAGTTCGATCTTGCATCGTCGACTTTAGGGAAGTGCAGCACTGTGAAAAGTCAGTGTTCTTTGTGTCCCACAGTAGCCTGCTGTGACAAACTTTCAACTCTGTTGTTCTCCAGGTGCACAGGAAAAGCCCCGGGAACATGTGAATTTCATTTTGTGTGTGGCAGGTGTGATGAGCAGACCTCTGAGCAGGCAGCACACCTCAGCAGCACACCTGAGCATGAATGCCCAGACTGCAAGAAAGCACCAGCATGGAGTGTGCAGGAGATCCTGGACCTCTTTGTTCTGTGGAGGAGAGGAATCAGATCAGGCATAACTATGAAGCAGCAAAAGAAACACAGATACTTATGCCCAGATCGCACAGGGCATGTGGAAAAAGGATATGGCAGGGATGCCCAGCAGTGCTGCATGAAAATAAAGGCGCTCAGGCAGGTGTGCTGGAAGACAAAGGAGGCAAACGGATGGTCTGGGTCAGCACCACAAACAAGTCGCTTTTCCGAGCAGCTGCATGTGATTCTAGGGAGGGGACCTGATCAACGTCCCAGGCGAGTCCATGGATTCCCTCTCACGACACTCCACAGGCAGCAGCATAGTGTGGATGGGGAAGAGAATGGTCAGTAGGTGAGCAGAGAATCCATTCTCATCGACAGCCAGGTGCTTTTTATTTATAACTTTGGAGGAAATCCCCTCCTCTCAGGATGTCTCGCTGCTGGGCACTGATGGCGGGGAGGGCACTTCTGGTGAGTTCTCATTTAAAATCAGGGCTACTTAACACACGGCACATGGCCCTTTTGCATGCAGCCCACGGTGCCTTGAGCCACTTCCTGGGCTGCCTGCCTGCCTCACTGCTACCGGCTGGCCACGCAGGGGAGGGGCAGGCGAGAGGCGGTGGAGCCTTCCCACAAGCAGAGCCGCGCAGCATGGCTCTGATAAAAGCTGCGGTTGTGTGTGTGTGTTCGGGCTAGGGGGGTGCTGGGCTGGGGTGGGAGCAGAGCGCACATCCCCATGCATTGCGGCGAGTCAGAAATGCCTGGCGGACCACGTGCAAACTACAATCAAGTCTCCAAGGCAGCCAGGCCAAGCAGCGGGAACGGCCCACTTTAAGGTATGGTTACATGTCCCATATCGCCAGTGCCTGGCTCTGCAGGAGGGGATTTGGTTGGGGGGTGGACTAGGGGTGCCTGGCTCTGGGGAAGGGATGGGTGCATTGGGATAAAGCAGTGGGCTGGGGTGTCTGACTCTGGGGTAGGAGAGGGGCTATTTCAGCAAATATTGTACTGGCAGTTTTTGTTTGATCTGTTAAAATGGTGAAGCCAAAACAAAAAAGTAGTCAATATAATGGTCTTCTGTTGATGTGTGTTTTAGTAGTTAAATTGCTGAACAGTCATTGCTTATTAAAAGTGCTGTCATATGGGTGGAAATCGGGTAAATACTGCATTGTATTAATATCAACAGAACTGACTTAAATGGATCCTGCATGTTGTGTAGTCTTGCTTTACTCTTTGTATTCATGCCCATCAGTATGAAAGAAGCTATTTGCATATATTTGAATACTTGCATATATTTGCAGCTGAGCTTAAGTTGTGGCCCTCGGCATGTGCTGTGGGTATCATTTGTGGCTCCCGAGGTTTCCAACGTTGAGTAGCCCTGTTTTAAACCATGCTGCAAGTGGGTTACGGCAATTGTGTGTGATCTTTGGTGTCTCCCCAGAACAGTTTAACAACGTGTCTGAAGATGGAGCGAGACTCCTCCCTGCACATCTCTACGAAGCTCTCAAAGAGGAAGGCTTTCATCCTTCTCACAAGGTTTCTGGGGAGGCTGCCTTATTCTGTCCTCCACCAGAGGCCATCGCCTTTCCGCACCAAGCCTGCATCAAGTCGTCTGGAATCACTGCAGCACACAAAGCAGCACCAGACCCAGGTTTCTGGCCACAATCAGTCAGCACCTGCTCCCTATCGCTCTGTGTGATTCAGAGAAGACCGACATCGTGCATGGCAACCTGGATGGAGCAGGTTGGAACTGATACCACAGCATTGGAACTGATACCACAGCAGTACACTTCTGTTGCCTCTCCCCCCAAAGCCTTGTTTGAGCCCTGGCTCAGCAACCAAGCCCAGACTCCCTGGCATCTGTTCGAGCCCCTGCCCTTCCGCCACCCCCAGACCACCACCCGCGGGTTCTTGTGAGAAGGGAAAGTTACACTCTCCAGGTCAATGGGAGGTGAAACACACGATCACCATGGGAGCCCCTGCCCCGCCGCCACACCACTGTGCCCTCCCCACTCTTTGCAGGAGCTGCTATTTGCAAGTACTGTGTTGCACATG